TTGGTTGTTGACCTTCTTTCTCTTCTTTTCTGGTTTGGGGTTTGGGTGGAGCCTGGGGTGGGGCCTAACGGTCTTTGTATCACTACTTAACATTCTTCAACATATGTTCTTGGTTTTCCTTGGTTGTTGACCTTCTTTCGGTTGGGTTTGGTTGGCCTGGGGGGGGCAATAACGTTCTTTCTACTACATTCTTCACATAATGTTCTTGGTTTTCTTGGTTGTTGACCTTCTTTCGGTTGGGGTTTGGGTGGGGTGGGGTGGGGTGGGGTGGGGCAAGAACGTTCTTTTTAGTACATTCTTCACATAATGTTCTTGGTTTTCTTGGTTGTTGACCTTATTTCGGTTGGGGTTTGGGTGTGGTGGGGTGGGGCAATAATGCTCTTTCTACTACATTCTTCACATAATGTTCTTGGTTTTCTTGGTTGTTGACCTTCTTTCGGTTGGGGTTTGGGTGTGGTGGGGTGGGGCAAGAACGTTCTTTTTACTACATTCTTCACATAATGTTCTTGGTTTTCTTGGTTGTTGACCTTCTTTCGGTTGGGGTTTGGGTGGGGTGGGGTGGGGCAATAACGTTCTTTCTACTACATTCTTCACATAATGTTCTTGGTTTTCTTGGTTGTTGACCTTCTTTCGGTTGGGGTGTGGGTGTGGTGGGGTGGGGCAATAACGTTCTTTTTACTACATTCTTCACATAATGTTCTTGGTTTTCTTGGTTGTTGACCTTCTTTCGGTTGGGGTTTGGGTGGGCCTGGGGTGGGGCAATAACGTTCTTTCTACTACATTCTTCACATAATGTTCTTGGTTTTCTTGGTTGTTGACCTTCTCTCGGTTGGGGTTTGGGTGGGCCTGGGGTGGGGCAAGAACGTTCTTTTTACTACATTCTTCACATAATGTTCTTGGTTTTCTTGGTTGTTGACCTTCTTTCGGTTGGGGTTTGGGTGTGGTGGGGGGGGGCAATAACGTTCTTTACTACATTCTCACATAATGTTCTTGGTTTTTCTTGGTTGTTGAACTTCTTTCGGTTGGGTTTTGGGTTGTTTGTTGTGGTGGGGGTTTGGGTGGGGCATAACTGTTCTTTTACTTACATTTCTTCACATCGGTCTTGGTTCTTTGGTTGTTGACCTTATTTCGGGTTGGGCGTTGGGGTTGTGGTGGAGGTGGGGGCAAATAACGTTCTTGTCTAATACATTCTCTCACATAATGTTCTTGTTTTATTGGTGGTGACCTTCTTTCGGTGGGTTGGGTGTGGTGGGGTGGGGCAAGACCTTCTTCTACTACATTCTCACATTAATGTTCTTGGTTTTTCTTGGTTGTTGACCTCTTCGGTTGGGTTGGGTGTGGTGGAGGTTGTGGCAAATAACGTTCGTTTACTCATTCATCACATAAGGTTCTTGGTTTTCCTGGTTGTCCGAATTCTTTCGGTTGGGGTTTGGGTGGGCGTGGGGTGGGGCAATAACGTTCTTTCTACTACATTCTTCACATAATGTTCTTGGTTTTCTTGGTTGTTGACCTTCTTTCGGTTGGGGTTTGGGTGTGGTGGGGGGGGGCAATAACGTTCTTTCTACTACATTCTTCACATAATGTTCTTGGTTTTCTTGGTTGTTGACCTTCTTTCGGTTGGGGTTTGGGTGTGGTGGGGTGGGGCAATAACTTTCTTTCTACTATATTCTTCACATAATGTTCTTGGTTTTCTTGGTTGTTGACCTTCTTTCGGTTGGGGTTTGGGTGGGGTGGGTTGGGGCAAGAACGTTCTTTTTACTACATTCTTCACATAATGTTCTTGGTTTTCTTGGTTGTTGACCTTCTTTCGGTTGGGGTTTGGGTGGGGTTTGGGTGGGGTGGGGTGGGGCAATAACGTTCTTTCCTTTACGTTTTCACATGACGTTCTTGATAGTAGGCTGTGGACCTTTTATATATCTTGTTACTACGCTATGTTCTTACATATCTTGTGACTAAGTTCTTGATACTATGTTATGGACGTTCTTACATATCTTGTTACTATGTTATTGATAGTACGCTCTTGATGTTAATCCATATCTTTTTATTACGTTATTTGACATATGTTGCAGTTTTTTTGCAGAAACTCCTGTCTTTGTTGACTGCAAAGTGACCAAATGCGTTCTTAAAAAAATTAGTTTGTTTTTTTGCCTTGAAGGCGTTCAAGTGTTAAACACTGCGAAACGTGACTCAAAATGATAATGCATTAAAGACCACCATTGGAAATCGTCCGAAGCGCAGGGAAATTTACATTGCTAAAATCCTTATAACACAGGAAACCTTCAAATGATCGCAATTACCCTGGGAAATGGAAGTCTAGAACGAAGAGACGTTGACAAGAGATACACGCCGCCACCACAATTCCACACGGCCAGCTATGGGACGGGAACCTGGGTAGTTAGACTGAAGAATTGAAGGAAGTTCCGTCAAGAAACTCAGGGCTACGCAAAGTCTCAGTAGCACCTTCTCATCACCACTGGACACCAACACCTCTTCACATCATCACCGCTTCACACAATCGTCACTTCACATCATCACCGCTTCACACAATCTTCACTTCACATCATCACCGCTTCACACAATCGTCACTTCGCATCATCACCGCTTCACACCAGCACAGCTTCACACCACCAACGCTTCTTATCATCACCACTTCACAGAGTCATCACTTTGCATCATCACCACTTCACATTGCCACTACCTCACATCAACACCATTTCACATCCATCACCACCTCACATCAACTCACATCATCACCCGCATCATCACCGCTTTACAAATATAAAATCAATATATCAAAGTATTTAGTTTTATTTCAAACAGTTTGGAGTGTGTTGGCATGATGCATGGGAAAGCATGAGCATGTGAAGGACCTGCTTGCATTCGCACCGCGACAGCTCGACAATGCTGCTTGACGCCAAAGGCACTGCCAAGGTTGCAGGCTTTGGCATGGCTGTGCTCTCTGAAACTTCCACCTTCCACTCTGAAGTGGTCGGTGTGGTTGGTATCCAAGATGGTTTTCTACATCCTTCCCGCCTACCCCCAACACCACATGGGATAGCTATGGTCTCCCACGTGCCTCCCACTGACCCCCCAACATGACATCGGGATCGCCCAAAAAATGATTTTAGAGCCGTTTACATCATACCATGTTTTTTTGAAGGCGATCCCAATTGATGACATTGGCTTGGCAGCGACCGCCAAGAAAGTCACAGGGGAGGTAGTAACGTCACTCTTTGAACCTTTGTACCGTTCCCTGGGTGAAAAACTCAGCCATGGACAAAAATCATCAATCATTAGCCTCCACGTGCGGCCATCCTGTGTTTTCCTGATCGGTGTCTTACTTTTTCCCGTGACGTGTGCATGGGTCCAAGAATCAACGCGAGCGCCAGTCTACGCTTCAAGGAACCTTGTGAGCCCAACGCCCGTTGTGGAACATCTCCAGCTGCACCACTGCACTCGCCATTCCGTGTACTTTTGAAGTTTCCGAAGCCCGGAAAAAAATCGGAAAAAATCGGATGTGCAGCGATCTTTTGTGCCTATGGTTTCCGGATCATGTTCAAGAATGGGATGACAAAACAGGGTCACAATCCACTGCCATTGCTGAGGATGATTTGGGAAGAGGCTGCTGGGCTGCAGTCGCGGGCATTGTTGTGGCGGGGTTGACCAATATTCAAATTTTGGAATATGAGATCGAAGTATGAAGGATGGATGTGAAAAATGAGATCAATAGGGTATAACGTACATAATCGATGGGATAAATGGTTGAGAAACACCTCAATGTGCCGGACAATGTTTCATCGCATCTTTGTTTTCAGTTGTGCGCTGTGATCGTCGTTTACCGCCCCGAGGATACGCGCATGTTGAGACCTTTGAAGGGTTTTCCAGTTCCTTGGTGATGGAAAGGGTGGTGAATTGGAATTTTTCACCATCCGAAGAATCCGCTCACCGAACATGTCAATCTTTGTGGATCAGTTGGCAGTTGGTTCTACCCTCTGGTAAACTAACAGTTTGCTATTGAAAATGGCCATTTATAGTGGATTTTCCCATTAAAAATGGTGATTTTCCATAGCTATGTTAAATTACCAGAGGGTATATTGTTGAGACATATCCATGTCAGTATTGGTGACGTAAAGCCGAGATGTTTCCCGATTTTTTATCCAGCAGTTTGCAAAGAACGTTGGATTGTTATCCCAGGATGCGGACATGATCACCATGGGCAACATCAAGAACACTCATTGTGGCTGACCAGCATTGAGGTTTGGATGGCTGAAAGATCATCAAATATTATCATGACAATTGAATAAGATGAACCATGACTAAGATATGACAAACTATGATCTGATGATGAAATGGTATGAAACAATTCTAATCCCGTCCTCTTAGAACTATATTACATTACATATCCTCATATGGCCACCCAGAATGAATAGATCTCATACTCAACGGCAGTTCCTAGGGGACTCCAACATGTGCCAACTCTGCCAACATCACTTGTTCAGGTGGCGCCTTTGCACCCGGAAAGGTCGCCTTTTTGATGCTTGGCTTATGAGGTTGGTATGATTGCAGTGCCCTCAGCTGCAACCTATTTTGACTTGAGCCATAATGTGGTAGATCCGAGCAGCTTCGCAGCCTGTCATCCTGGCAATGCCCGGCCAAAGTGGACAACCCTACAAGCAAGTGGACAGCAAAAAAGTGAAGCTATACATCTCATGTCAACAGGTGGTTTGAGTAATGGACAACTTCGTATCCACACTCCCCTCTGGTCATTCTTGACCAGCCACCGATGAAAAAACTCAAAACTAATTTCCCAGCTGCAGCCTTTCAGACGTCGGTTACGTGGTTCCAAGCATCATTATCGGCATCTTCACCACCAACGACTCCCCAGCGTTCCAAGTCATCAACCACTGGGCGGGCACGATCCCTTGCCGTACCACGGCCATACCCAGGAGCCGGCATCTGCTGAGGCACTTGCTGCCGTCGCCCTTTCATAGCCAAGTTTCCATAGGGATCAGCTCGAACTTGTTTAGAAAGATCACCTCAAACTTGTTCAGGAGGATCACCTCCAACATGTTCAGAAGGATCACCTCGAACTCGATCAGGATGGTCATCTCCATTACCTCCAGGCACATTGAAAGATTTAACCCGGAAGAACGTCCAACCATTCCACTGGTCTTTCTGGGGGTCTCTTACAGCAGCCGTCCAACGATCCTCTAACACAAAGCGCTCCCCAGTGCTCTGGTTGAACCCCACTGTGACGCGGTCCAATTCCAGATTCTCACCCTGAATTGGTGCACTGCACCCTTGTGCAAAGGATGAAACAGACGCTTCCGCTGTTCCTTGTGGCTGCGGATCAACCAACCGTGACCTGGTACTCTGCCGCTGTCCATGGTTGAGAGCCACCACGTGGAGCTTCTTCGGATTGCTGAGTTGCCGGAGAAGCTCGCGGAGCCGTTGTAGAAACTCGCAAAGCTTTTACTGCGGCTCCTGATGCTCCACCATCTGGTCCATCATCAGGCGGGTCACGGCCCGGGTATAGTCACGAGGTTCATCTGCTGGACCCTCGTCCACCTTTTTCGCACGCCTTTGAGGCTCCTCAGTGGCAGGCTCGGCATGCTCGGTCGCCCTTGCATGTTCATCGCGTCGTCCAGGTTCAGCAGGCGGCCCGAGCTCCAGTCTACGAATTCCGGCTTCCAACTGTCGAGGCACTGAGAGAGCTCTTGTAGAGGCAGATGTTCTTCTACTCCACTCCTGCTCCTCAATCTCCCGTTCACATTGAACTTCAGCCGATCCAAAGTCTCATCGGTCGTCTGCTGCCCAGCTCGTCGGCGCTGCAACATCGACATGGCTCACACAGTAGCAGCGCGGTGGCTCATAACCTTGGGTTATGAAGCTGGTATGATTGCAGCGCGCAGCTGCAACCTATTTTGACTTGAGCCATAATGTGGTAGATCCGAGCAGCTTCACGGCCTGTCATCCTGGCAATGCCGGGGCCAAAGTGGACAACCCTACAAGTCAGTGGACAGCAAAAAAGTGAAGCTATACATCTCATGTCAACAGGTGGTTTGAGTAATGGACAACTTCATATCCACAGATCCGAAAGATGCTGGGTGTCAGAGATGGAACATCTGGCCATTTTAGCTTGGATTTGGATGGATTTAGGACATAGTATTTTGGTGAATGTCAAATGTTGTGGTCGTTTGGCACCTTTTACGGGGGACAACAATCATGGAGTGATAGATACGGGTATTGTACCCCATTTTGGACAAACCCTGGTGTGAATATGAGAGTACAATGTACAATCATGTCAAACCATTGGGACCCACTGAAACTAGATGAATCAAATTTGGTCGATGTTGTCCAGAAGTCCTTGCTTAATTTCATGGGATTAGTTACCAGCGGGTCTTTCCATCAGTCGCAAGATTTTGCTACATGTACTAGCACTATTTGGTTGTCTTCCAACAAAAATGGACCAAATTTCTTGATTTTGGGGGTTTGATACCCCAGCTTCGAAACCTCGAGGAAACCAGAGGAGATGAGTCCTGGCGACGCCAGACGGAAGAGGTGTGCTGCAACGCATGGGGGGACAAGATGATCCGAACAATTCGGATGATCCCAAAAAGGAAACTTTTGCGCCGGTGTAGGTGCAGCTACTGGTATCGAAAGAACACGAGGGTAACCTGAAATCTTCTGATACGGTGTTCTCTTCACATTGGAGATTACACCAATTGCAGGCAAGCTGCACGCTATGCAGCGAGAAGAGGCTTTTCTGCTGGACCTGCCAGTGCTGTGAAGAGCCCCGGCCGGCTTTTGATAGCTGTGCTAGCTTGGAAGTTGTTCAGTTCGATTTTACCCTGGGATTCTCCAAATTGAGAGCTCAGTTAGGAAAAACCCACGGTGCAATCCCGCCAAGAGCTGTGACAATGCCTTTTGGTTCCCAACAAAACTCTTGGTTTTCCTGCCATATTGGGAACCTGCCACAAGGATCAAATCTTTCCTGGCTGCTCTGGAGAATACCAGTGAAACAGATCCCTGACTGCAATCCCTTGGGGTGAGATTCCTCACGTGATGTTGAAATGCTCCGACTCAGAACCTGGAGTTTGGGGCTGAGGAATTTGTTGCGTACCAGAAGAAAAATCATCTACGACGATGTTTTGGTACATGAATGGTGTATTTCGAAAACATCATCACAAAAAACACACCCAAAGATGGCCATGTTGAAAGCATGTATCATTCCATGTTCATCCTTTTCATCCATGTCTATCATTTTTCAGCAAAAAACTTGGAGGATTGGCGTTGCTGAGGATCTTGAGGCAATGTACGCGGTCCAAGACATGTGCTGGGAAGATTTCGCGCTGGCCAACGGCTTGGTAGTCAAGCGATCACCGGAAGTTCAGCAGACCCGTGGCAAGCAGAAGGGTTTTGGGATGTTTGGGGGAATGTCCATTATGTCCATCAAACAGAACGAAACGACGCATCCCGGCATCTTCTAAAAAGATGAACTCAAGAGCCCTGGTTCAGGGGATCTATTGATTTTGGGGTCTGCTAGAGAGGTTACTAGCTGGAAGGAATCAGTATTGTTTGGGTTCAGCGCAGTGATTAATGCGATCCGGAATCTACGGCTGATGGAATTTTGGCGCTCATCCGAAAATCATGATATCCACGAACGGATACACATCCAGAAGATAAGAAAGAAACATATCCTACAGAATGTCTCAGTTTATTGTGAGTCCCTGAGGTTTGAACACTTGAAACATACCTTCCAAGGCGCGTCGTGTCGCCCAGATTTCCCCATTCTGACCACAAGGATCACAGGATACTTCCTGGACCTGGACCATGCCTTGCATCGACCCAAAGTGGACGATCTCTGGCGAAGGAATTTGCATTGCTTGTCCTGTTTGGACTCATGCGGCTGGCCCCAAATATGGGAGATTTGGGGAGATTTTCGGGAGATTTTTGGATGCCCCAATTGATGGCAAGTTTGATGGGAAAGTGAGGAGGAACCATGGACTATGGGATTTTCCTCCTGGGTTTGGGGGTTTGGGTTTGAGGATATCCAAGTTTGGATGGGGATGGGTTTGGGATCACCAGGATGGGTGGAACCTAAACTGTAGGCAGCCAGGGCTGGATGAGGGTGGCTGACAGCCCAAGATGACTTGACGCTGAGGTAAATCCAGCTGTGGGTGTGGACCCAATCGATCATTGATCGAACATCTTCGCGACTTGGAAGCATTTTTGCAACAGAGTGCGACTTGGATCTGTAGAATAGTTGCATAGGCTGGTCACGCCGGAGGAAGCCAACCTGACTTAAGATTGGTTCAAACCTGACAAGATTGGTTGCAATAACAATATGAAAGCACTCAAGTTCGTTGCAGGTCTAGTCCTACCTGAACCATCCTGAAATTTGAATCGAGTTGATGATGTCCTCAGAAGATCTCAGCGAGGTTTTATGGTCGCCCACCTGAACGAGTACTGGAATCCCCAGTGGTCCGTGTGGCGAAAGTCGCAGCTTCTGTGGGCCCGACCCTGTGAGGCTGGGCCATGCTGGGGTTTATGTCAAAAACTGGTGGAGATTTACCACCATGAAGAAAATGATATAAAATGATAATCATTGATAATGATTGATCACCCATGATTTTTTGATATTTTTGGGGGTTCCAATTTTTAGGGCCAAGATATGACCAGTTGCTTCAACAGGACCCATTTGGATGGTCCCTTGGCGCGAGCGGGTCGCGCTCTGCGGCGTCAGGAGTGTTCCTCTGGCTTCGGGTGCTGGTCGAGCTGCAAGAGTGGATGCATGAAGCTCCTCAGATTGGCAGAAACTATGGTATTCACACTGTATTCACCATGATTGACCTCATGTACATACCATTTTTTGACAACAAATAGTGAATAATTAGTTGCTTCACTTGCATGGGAAACTGCTTGGACATGCTTGGACTATATGCAGCTAGTGGACTAATTACTTGATTTGGCTTGGAAAATCAGGATTTCAATAGATTTTAAAGTTCCAGGTCATTCCAGGTCTGTGCCCTGGTGGTAGCTAAGATAACAGCTGGAGTCATTTGGGATCCCAGGTATTGCCCTGCAGTGGTGCATCCGCACAAGGGAACCACCTTAGATTGCGAGAGGGAGCCGTTGCCAGCTGAAAGAGCTTGAAAAGAAGCGATGGGTCGATGGGCTGCTCGGTAGTGGGAAAGTTGGCTTAAAGTTGGCTTTCCAAGTCTGATCAAATCGTCTAAAGGAGTATTCTTTGAATATGAACCAGTGCCTGGAAACTTGAAGATTTATGAGTCTGTCTTTGGAATAAGGGCAATGAGAGATGCTGAAACTCCTTGGTTGCTATCATCAGAAACAATCACCGTGAGGGTTACCTAAGTTGAGCTCCCTAACGTGACAAGCCATTCAGGCTCAAGAGATTTGGAGCCGAGCAGTGCCATGAACAACAAGCGGACCGTTCTGTGCGAGCACTGGCTCCGTGGCTATTGCCGCAATGGCACCAAGTGCAACTTCGCGCACGGCGCGACCCAGCTCCGTCGGCCCGAAGCCAAGAATGCCCACCCAGAGGACACGGAACTGCGCAAAGCTGTGAATGGAGAAGCTCCGGCACCAGCGAAACTTCTCCAGTGGCGTGAACAGCTTGCTGCACTTCCACAGGGAAGGCAGTTGAGCTTCAAAGGTCTGCGACCAACGGAAAGGTATGCACTGCACCAGCTGGCCAATGAATTCCAGTTGACGCACATGTCAACTGGAGTTGGTGACCAGCGACGACTCCACATCCTGAGGCCTGCGCCGCAGGAGAGCTCTCAAGCATCCCAAGAGACCTCCAGTGGACGTCTATCACGAGCTGAGCAGAAACGTCGTAAGAAGGAACGACTGAGATCCCAACCTTCCAAACAATCTACCCCAGGAGACCTGCAGACTTCTACTGGTATGGAGAATGGCATGGAAGGAGAGAGTGATGGAGTGGAGGAAGAGATGTTGCGGATGCAAGAGCTGCAGTTGGGCTGAATGCTCAGCACTTGTACATCCAGTGCCACTGGAACACATCCAATGGCCCTCAGATTGTTTTGCCCTGTGGTTGTGGTGGTGGTTGATCCGCATGAGGAGAGCATTTGAAAAAACTGCGACAGGGATCTGTCGGCTTCGATGAAAAAGATACGCGGAATTGCCACGTTCTGCTCTTGCAACATTGCATGTTGGTTTGAAACATATTCGCTCCAGCAATTTAATCATGTTACCAGTGATCTTCTCTCTTCTAATCTTTCTCTTCTCTCTGCCTCTGCCCTGCTCTGCTTTTCATCTGCCCATATTGTCGGAAGTTTAACTTCTAAACTTC